GTGGTGGAGGAGACATTGACAGGGAGAGCTCCCTAGAGCATGCCCTGGGGCATGGACAGGCACTGACAGGGGAGTCTGACTTAGGGCAAGGAGAGCAGAGAGCAGGCTGGGCTGTGGGGTCTCTCTAAAGTGAAGTTGTTTGAAGAAGACAGGGATGACCTCCCATTCACGCCTTCTCCACATTGCTCCCAGGGGCTCTGACCCAGGCAGTTCCAGGGGTGGAAAAGTCCACAGGGTCCCACATGCCATGAGTGGATATAAGGTGCTTATCCCTGACCCACCATGGACCCTGCAGGCCCTGAGCAGGGCACTAGAGTTGAGTCACTGCTGTGCTGCCCTGACACCAGCTCCTCTTCCTCGGCAGGGGTTGGTTCACAGCCTTTATGGGCAGCTCTGAGTCCCAGGTACAAACAAGCAGCCCCAGGCTCATGAGCACCAGCCTGTGTCACTGCAGCACCTGATCTCTGTATAAAGGGGCAGGGCGTGGCCTCACCCAGGAAGCCCTTCCTCTGCTGGCCTTGGACCCTTCCTAGCAGAAACCACATGCAAATTCCCACTCCAGAGTTCCTGGTTAAACACCAGCCCTGGGGTCCGGGAGCCTGAGGACATGATACACAAATCCTTGCAGTTGGGGTCAAGGCTTTCCTGGGCCCCCAACAATGCAAACTGTTCTGGCTTTGCTGTCCCTGCTGGCAGCCCCCCTGGGTGAGTCTCTTGAGGGTGAAGGGCAGGGAGGAGGTATCCATCATCTAATGGCATGTCTCATTTCTTCCCTAGGTGCATTGTCCCAGTTCACCCTGCAGCAGTCCAGCCTGGAGCTGGGGAGGCCTGGACAGACCCTCACGCTGACCTGTGCCGTCTCTGGAGACTCCATCACTAACAACTACTGGGAGTGGGTCCGGCAGGCTCCAGGGAAAGGGCTGGAGTGGGTGTGACAGATTGACCAGAGCAGCTCCAACTGGCACAGATACTATGGGCAGTCTTTCCAGAGCCGCGCCACCCTCTCTGCAGACCCCTCCAAGAACCAGTTCTCCCTGCAGCTGCGCTCCCTGACAGCCGCAGACACCGCCACATATTATTGCTCAGGATACAAACACATCCACAGTGACACAGAGAAGGGCAGGAGCTGTGCTCAAAGGGGAAGCGCAGGCTGAGCAGCTGTACAGCATATTCACCCTGGCACCCTGCACAAGGCAGAGAGGAAGGAGGAAAGAGAGGAAACAGCAGGGGAGGGGGAGCAAACTGCAGAAGCCTGTTGTATAGTTCAGCAGCATCAAACATACTGCCCACAGGGGGATGCAGACCATGGAGTCACTCTATCCAGCTCGCCGGGCTACATGCCAGCCTCCAGGGTATAGCCAAGGAGACTGGCCTTCTGCAGTGGATGTGGCGATCAGAAACAGGAAGGGGAACGAGGCCTGACACAGCCTCCCTCACTCTCCAGCCTCTTTGCTTGTCACCACTGCTGCGGTCCTTTCTTCCCATCTGCTACCCCACTGTGCATCCCATGCTGGAGCTGGAGGTGCTGCTGTAGCACAGGGAGCAAGGTGATGGCTCCTCTGGCTCCTGCACAGGACATATGGCACTGCCAGCAGTGACTGCAGCACAGGGTCAGGGCCAGAGTGGCTGCCACCTCCAATGCTTCTTCCACCTGTCCAGACACAGTCTAGGGGAGAAAGTGAGTTTGACACCCCCAGGTTAAATGAGAAGAGATCTGGACACTTGAGTTGCATCCAGCCATATGTTCCCACATGAACCTAGTCCTAGGCAAACTCACATTTAACATTAGCACTTACCATCCCCGTCTCACTCTGAACAGAGGTCATTGCGCAAGGGAGTCACTCATCAGGAGATTCTTACAGCTCTGGGGGTCACGGGGGCAAACTCCCTGCTAACCCACAGGGCACCTTGTGGGACAACCTGCCTGAGTGAGAGATGCAAAACCTGCCAGCACATTCCCACAGCTCACAATCATCCCTCACAGCCACCACCAGAACCCATGGAGCTGCACACGTTGTAGACTGTGGGATCTCTAAGCCACTGCACCAAGTGCCCTTATGAAAACTTTCAGGTTTACAAAACTAAATTTCCAGGCACCAGAACAAACTAGCACAGGGCTAAGATAAAGGCCAGAGACCCCAGAACCCCAGCTGGTGAATACCTTGCAGAAGAATTGCTTCCTATCTGGCCCCACAAAGCTCAGGTCACCTCCTGCCAGCTCCAGGCCAAAATTAAAGGAACTCAAGAGTTTGGGGCCAAGAGACTCCTGCTCTGGGGTTGCACTGGGGACCCTAAGTCTCTGGGGTTCTTCTGGAAACCTAGCCAGCATGGGAAGAGAAGAGGGACAATTTCCCTTATCCACAAGCATTGTACTTACTTATAACCGTGAAACTATGAATAAACTATGAAAACTTTCTTCCCTTTGATTATATTTATCATGAGGAATTCGCAGGCCTTCCAAGTGGTTGGTGAACAATCAGTAAGTGGTTGGAGTCAATCAATAATTGTTTTGGGATTCCTGAATCCCTTTGACAGCCTTGTAAAACTCTTTCACCTGCTAAGCTCTCTGCCCTGCCTTGAGGGGATGTATCTCCTTTACACAGACCCAGCAGTGTAGGCAGGAATCAAATGCTCTCAGCTCTTTAAACCCTGGAGAAGCCCACGTGCAAGTCCCTTTCTGGGGACTCCTGGCTAAATGCAGCCCCTGGTGCCAGAGCTTCAGTCCCTCCCAGACAAAGTCCTGCTCCCACCCAAGGAGACTTCCTCCATCACCATGAACTTGCTGCTGCTCCTCCTGGTCTTGCTGCCAGCCCCTGCAGATAAGGGATCTGAAAGGGGTAGATGTGATAGGATCCCAGGGCTGGAGGCTCTCAGGAGCCCAGGCCCAGGGGCAAATCTGGGCACCAAACTCCTCCAGACACCATTTCAGGGTTCAGCCATGTCCCCATATCCCCTTCCCCAGGGCTCAGGCCTGATCACTGACTGGGCTGTTCCCTTCCAGGCATCCTCTCCCAAGTGCAGCTGCAGCAGCTAAGGGAAAGTCTAGTGAGACTCAGGGGAGGGGGGGCAGGACCTCCTACTCACTTGCACGGAGTCAAGCAGCAGGTCAGGGGCCATGAAAAAACAAGTAGTTTCCCTGCAGGGCCTTGACTTCCTGCTCATCACTAAGTCATGGGAATGGATTGCACTAGACTTCATCTCTCCCTGATGAATACAAAACCACAAGGAGAAGCAGCAAAAGATTTGCTATGAGTATATCAGATGGACAGACAGACTGGGTCATGCACTGAGGGTTTGTCAGGGCTCCCTCGTGAAATGCAATAAATGCAACCTGACATCACACAGGGAGCAAGGTTGTCCTCCCAAGGGCCACAGATCCAAGGCAGTGGATACATATTTACACATAGAGTTCAACTGGGTCTAAGATAAACTCCCTGTATCAAATGTGGGGAATGAGGAAAGTGCCTATGAAAGTCACTTGGTTTGACCAAACTAGAAGAGGCAAGTTGAGATGCTGCATACTGGCTATTTTGCTCACATCATCATGTGTCTCCATACAATCCAGGCTGGGATCTAGGTGGACTGTCCTGAGTCTAAGTCTCTCAACATGGCGTCAGACTGGCCAGTTCCCTTGCGTGTTTCCATACATGACAGCCAGAAACTTCTGCTCCAAGTACTCCCATATTCCAAAGAAATGTCCCTCCTGCAGGGAGATCTGACCAAGCATCTCAAACATCTTCCAGAATATTTAAGCACCCAGAGCTCCAAGGCCTCTTCCCTTCTATTTCAATGCCGAGGAAGACTTTGGACCTCTTAGTAATACCCTGGGTCAGAGGTGCTCAACTTCGGGAGTGCGTGACAAGTGTCATGGGCCAGCAAATGTGGTGTCAAGGGAGCTGCAGCAATGCTTACTGCCATCCTCCCCCACTGCCAAATTCTGAGCCCCACGTGGCCGGTTAGAAACCAGAGCGCACCCCCTCTCTCCACACAGCAGGATCAGGACTGTTCATACCCTCTCCTCGGCTGGGGCATATTGCGCTCTGGCCATTCCCCCATTCCCCACAGACTAGATTGGAGCCAGGATGCCCCCCACCACCCAAAACAACTGGATTGGGCCCAATTGTGCCCACCCCATGTGCCAGATTGAGCCCACCAGCTGGATCTGACCTGCAGATGGACTGGGCACTGCCTGTCCAGCCCATGGGACAACAAGTTTGAATATCACTGCCCCAGGAGATCAAAAGCAAAGAGAATTGCTCTTAACAAAGTACAGAAGGACTTTTCTATCCTCCAGGACTTAGAAATCACTGACAATGGCTTGCCCTGCTTCAGGAGACTTGTGCACTAAGCCCACTCCTCGGACAGCTTCAGAGACCTGTTGAAGTAGCAGCATGAAGGTGGATTTAAGCCCAGTTTTGTCACTCTGGGCTACCCAGGGGGAATGATATTCTGCCCCTGCCTGCAGCACAGGCCCATTGCAGCAGGCTGAAGGGTTTCACCTCAGAACCCAGTGCAGCAGCGTTCACACTGCAGGTGGGGTGGAGTTGTTAGCACAGCTGCTTCCACCATCCCTTCCCAGGATACCCCCAGCAGGGGATGGTTTCAGACTTGCAATGGGTGCTAGTCCTGTACACTGGGACCTGTACAAAAGGCAAGCAAGGCACAGAGAAGAGGAGGACCCTGGGTGGGGCTTGATGGACCACACTGATGCTTCCATGCTGTGGACTGGTCTGCTCAAATGTCAAGAAACAAAATAAACGTGAGCAGGACTGTTTCTATATCATGTCGGGTTAGTCACATCTACATGCTCTTATAATGAACAAAATGAGAGATGCTTTGTTCCACCCCCTGGCACTCATTTATATCAACCCCATCCCTTGACCCATGCAAATGAGCCCTTTGGTGCCCTGTTTATAGAGCAGCTACAGACAGGTGCCCAGTTCCAAGGCTGCTGAGTCTAGCTTCCTGCCTCCCATTGAAGCTGTTCTGGAAACAGGGCCATGGATGCCAGCACCATCATCCCCCTCCTACTGCTGTTCCCAGTGGGTAAGAGCAGGCTCTGGGATCCTTGCCTGTAGCTGGTGGCAGAGACTCCCTGGTACTGGCCCTCTGCAAATCACTTCACTCTCTCCCCCCTCCCTGCAGGTGTGTATGCTCAGGGCAGCCTGGTGGAGTCTGGTGGGGGAGTCCAGAGGCCTGGAGAGACCCTCAGCCTGACCTGCACTGTCTCTGGAGTCTCTCTGACTAGTGTTGGTGTGCACTGGTTTCACCAGCCAAAGGCAAAGGGGCTGGATTGGATGGGGGTTATCTGGAGTGGTGGGAGCACTAATTATAACAGTGCTCTCAAAAGCCGCCTCAGCATCACCAGAGACACCTCCAGTGGCAAAGTCCAGCTGCAGCTGAGCGGCCTGCAACCCAGAGACACAGCCTGGTATTACTGTGCCAGAGCCACACAGAGATGCAAAATCTATTCGAGCCTTCACAGAAACCAGCCCTGCAGGACCCAGCCTGCCTGTGTGAGCAGTAAAGGCAGCAGCTGCCAGCCACAACTCTACCTACTGCTGCATCTGGCTTCCAGGTCACTCCCAAAACAGCCATAGGTTAAACTCCTTTTGACCCAAGTCCAACAGAGCTGCTGAGTCCTGAGGCCTGGAACTGAACCCAGGAGTCCTGCCCTGATGCTCCATTCTCCTCCACTAACCCTCTGCATCCTCCCAGGAGTGGGAGGGAAAGACCCCCTTGCAGAAACCAGGACTCATGCTACCACAGCCCAACAGTGAACACAGCCCTGAGCCCTGACAACTGGATCCTGCCCCAGACCCTGGAGCCTTCACTGTCCTGCCAGCACCAGGCTCCAAGCGCAGGGCTGTGCTTCTCCAGCAGCAAATCCGTTTTATCCATAGGAGGGTAGAAGTAGTTCCCTCAGTCTTCCCAGAGCAATGCCTCCATCTGCAGACACATTCAGGGTCCAGGTCCCTGCAGCTGAGCTCCCTAACGGGGAGAAACACCCCCACTCCCATACAGCTGTGCAGGGAGACAGCATCTCTTAGTGCAATAAGGCCTGTGCAGAGAAAGAGGGATGTCCAGAGAGACTCCATGCCCTGCCAGCTCCCTGCTTCCTCCTGCACCTACAACAAGGGTCCCCAGGGGCAGCAACACACAGAACCAAAGAGGTCCCTGCCCCCTCAGCCCAGACCTAGAGAGGCAGAGCCACACCCCATCCACATATCACCCCCTGCCCCAGGTCTCCTGGTTAAGGGAGGCAGCTCCAGCCCCAGTGCACCAGCAATCATGTGCCCATCTCCTACATGCCAGCAACCCCGCTGCAGCAGTGTGTTTCTAGGCCCTTAAACACCCCACCTGCCCCATTCCCCATGAGGGCTGTGACCCAGACCTTGTCCGGCCCCTGCCCACAGCATGGAGCCAGGCCTGAGCACTCAGTCTAGAATGAACTCCCAGAGACAAATGCAGGGCAGAGACCCCTGAGCGTCCAGAGCAAAGCACTAGTCACAGCATCCTGAGCTCCCAGCTCCACACTCCAAGGAGACACGCAGACCCCTCAGCAGGTGGGAGTGGGGGAAACACCCCATCATCTTGCTGGATACCAAACTCTCTGGAGACAACACACAGGAGAGACCCAGGCTCAGCCTGACCCTCCTGGACTCTCTTCACACCTCCAAGGGCTGCACAGGGAACAATGTCCCTGTTCCCTCCTTCACGGTCTTGCTCTGGCATGGTCTTGGGTTCTCTGTTCACCCAAAGTGCTCTCGCTCTGAGGCTGCTTCTGTCCCTAGGTCACAGCCTCTTCACTCTCTTCAGGGTACTGGGTAGGGGGTCTCTTTCCTCTATATGTGAAGCTAACACAGCAGAGTGTCTCCCGGAGTTCAGCTCTGGCCACACTTACTCCTTCCCTATCTCTACGGAAGGCACTAGGTACCAACAGCCTCACCATGGTCTCTCCCAGATGCCAAGAAATGATGTCACCAAATCACCCTCCTACTTCTTTCCCGTCTCCTGTCCTCTCCCAGCTGCCCCCGTGCTCCAGGCTGGGCAGCGAATGGGGCTTCCAGGCATTGGCTCCTTTCCCCTCCGCCTTGACAAGAGCTCTGGGACCCTGCACTGTCTTTGGGTCTGGCCCCAGCTGAGCTAGTAGCAGGGCAGGGAAAGGGTCCATAGGGGCAGGAGTCAGGATTCTGGGGAAGCTCTGAGGGTCTCTTGTATAAATGGCACCAAGTAAGGGATGGTGGCAGTGCCCTGAGCCCATCTTTCCATCTCTGCCCAGGTGGCACCTGGAGGAGCACATCTGCGCAGGCACCAGTGACCCACCGAGCAATCTTTTTTCAGTTTTCACCAGGGGAGGGAGACATCGGCCCCAGCTGGTTTCAGCTGCACCAATTTGGGAAGATGCTGTTCCCTATGTTCAGTGCATTTTAAGGCCATGGAATGAAGCTGTTTCTCTTAACACAATTTCTAAGCAGGTGTTTTTATCCCTGGAGCCCAGTCACAAACCAAGGTCTGGTGCAGTCTGGAGAGGATGTGAGGCATCCCAGAGACTCTTTCTAATCCTTCTACAAACCCTGGCAGATCCCCTGAAGCTCCAAGTCACTGTCACCCCCAAGAGAAACTCCTGACCCACTCACTTCTACTCCTTCCCGGTTCCTGACCCATCATCTCCAGTCATGTACCACCAATCCCTTCCTCCTAGCACAGCTTACTCAGCCCCACTCTTCAGAGATCCTACTGCTGGGCAGGATGGAGCCACCATGGTCAGGCCACGGGTCTTCCTGCATGGGGCTTGAGGCCACTCCTCTCCCTGACCCAGGAAGGGTGTTGTTAGACCCCGACTCTATGCAGCGCCCAATGACTAGGGAGATGACGGTCCAATTGCTCATGGATCCTGGTCCTCATTATCCAGAGCAAGCAGGGAGCAAACACCAGCACACATTGCTTGCAACAGCTTTATTCAGAATGGAGACAGCTTCAGACAAGGGTCCCTCACAGACACCCAGCAGGGGACCTGCATTGAACAATAGTTCTTTTCACATTTTGTACACCTTGGTTCATTCATATTAACATTCACTCTACCTATGTCCCTCCTTAGGTTCCACCCATGTCTCCTCCCATCTCAAGCTCCACCTCGGTTTACTGTTTACTTCATTAACATGGAATTGCCTATGCATTTCATTAATTTACATGCCTCTCTGCTAAGAGCACATGTGTAAGGCCATGAACTCGGGTACTCTCAGTCACTTGCTGGTTCTTTCTTGTTCTTTGCTGACTTCAGCACCATCTCCAAGGCCTTGCTTCTGTTTTATCTCCTGATGACAGCTGGTGGGCTGCATCTTGTGCTTCTTACACAAGGAATCATGTATCCTGCACACTATTCCACTGTTAAAGAAACTACTTGGCTAAGCATTTGCAAGGTTAATTTAACATACCATCTTGCTTTGTGGTCAGCAGCTTTTTGCTGAGACAGATTAAAAGCCTAGTGCCAGCTGCAGATCCAATGCTCCCCAATAATCCAAATTATTGCCACCCTAACAGGTGTGTCATAGGGGTCCAGAGGAGGGGAGGTCTTGCCCCTGTCATATTCTGGCCTGCCTGGCTGGTATCCATCTGTCTGTCCTGTATACCCCTCTCTGTTACATATCTGTTACCATCACTGTCACCAAGCTCAGGGGCAGAGTGGGAAGAGGCCCCTGCAGCCAGGAGTCATCTCTCTCAGGCCCTAGAAACACTATCAGAATAGACTAGAGCCCTGGGGCCAGATCAAAGCTCCACAGCCTAGAGTCCCAGCACCAGGGACAGAGTAGGGCTTAGCTGTTGGCACCTGGGTGCACACACAAAGACACACACATCCTAAAATCCCCATCCTCTCCCTCATCCTCCCCAGGCCTCTGCTCTGCATTGCACATGTTGCCACCTACTGCTCTGCTCCCAGGGCTAAGTCCATCTGTCCCAATGCAGGGACCATCCTCACAGCGTGAATGACATGGACTCAGAGCCTTGTCCAACCACCTAGCAAGGGGCTATCACCACATAGGCCTGATTCAGGAACCTGGCGTGCTTTAAATCATCCCCTGGGCATTTCACATCACCCTACACAGACGAGCTCTTCTGTAAGAAGGGGTACTTCTCACCAAACTGCATTGGTATGAGTTGGCCCCAGACCCTGGAGTAGGAGAGCTTGTCTTCATCCTGTGTGGAGATTAGCAATGCCCCTTGCAGCCTAGGAGCAGAGACGAAGTAAGGAGGACTCTTATCTGGAAGAGACATGAAATAGGGAGAGGAGAGCTTGCACCTTAAAGGTGTCCTTTCCCCTGCCTAGGCAGTACCTGTGGAGACACCCCCAGCTCCCATATCTGTGCTATGTGACCCCTAGTGCTTCTCCCTCACCCAGAAGGATGAGCCCTGGTTCCATTTCCTTCTCACTACAGTTTCTCTGGAAGGTATTTTCTTCTCCCACACCCTCCAGATCAGCCCCCAGCTTAGACCAGCACTGACACTGCCCTCAGTATGTATGACTAGCACCAGGCTTCTGGTGAGCAAACAGATGTGTATTAGAGCAGTGACCCCACAGACTGTGCTGGGCTCCCTGGATGCCCTCCTGTACCCACAGTCCCACAGGGCCCAGCCCCTGCCTGATACCCCTTCTCAAGTCTTGTGTTGTTACAGATCCACATCCAGGTCTTTACAGTGTACCCGTGAGGTCCCTGGAGCCATAGGCCAAAACCCCTGGGAAAGCCCCTGACTGGGATCCAGCTGTCATCCCCTGAGAGTGCAGACAGTGTAGAGAGAAGAAGGGGAAGCTCTGCTGCCCCCCTCCCACTGCAGGGCCAGGACTAAAGGGGTCTCAGAGTGAGGGGCTTGGGACCTCTGGCATTAGACTTGCAGTGCGGATCCCAGCTCCCTTGGGCTCTCCTGGAAACCCAGCCAGCACTGAGAGAGAAGAGGGATGAGCTCCCTTCTCCACACAAAACCAGGGTCCTAAGATTTCTCCAGGCACCTTGACTAAGGGCAGGACAGTGCGTTGAAGATACAGTCTCACAGCCAGACTCTGGGAACTCTCTTCTGTGCGAGTCCCAGACACAGAACTTGAGTTCATTAGAGGAACAAGATTCTCCACCCCTTTTATAGAGGGAGATATGCAAACACAGCTCCTCTGCTCCCCTCTTAGCCTCTGCTGTCCCATGGTCCTTGCAGCTCTCACAGGGCGAAGCCCCAGGGTGCTGGTTCATCTCACCAAGAGCCCCTGACACCAGCAGAGATATGGGACTCTGGCTCCAGCTCCTTGTCAGCCTTGCAGTGCTCACCAGTGACTCCTTTCCCCTGGATAACGGCAGTTCAAGCAGGGTCAGTCAAGGTTTCCTTATTGTTTATGTGTCTCACCTGTGTTTTCAGGTGCCTGGTGCAAGGTGCAGCTGGTGGAGTCTGGAGGAGATGTGAGGAAGCCTGGAGACTCTCTGTGCCTCTCCTGCAAAGCCTCTGGATTCACCTTCAGCAGCTCCTACATGACCTGGGTCCACCAGGCTCCTGGAAAGGGGCTACAGTGGGTGGCCCAGATTAACTCTGGTGGATCCAGCCAGTGGTGCTCAGCAGATGTTCAGGGAAGATTCACCATCTCCAGGGACAACTCACAGAACCTGCTACACCTGCAGATGAACAGCCTGAGCCCTGAGGACATGGCCCAGTATTACTGTGCCAGCGATGCATGGTGAAGGGAATCCTTTTAGTGCCAGTACAAAACCCCAAGTTGCAGAGACCTGTGCTACCACGTACCACAGAAAGGCAGCAGTGGACAAGGGATGGGGGAGCATGTCTGGGAGCAGCATTTAACCCTTTCATTTCCAGCAAGCATCACACATTCCCCCTATTGCCCAGCCTAAACAAGTTCTTCCTGATGTCTAACCTAAATCTGCTCTCCATCAGTTTGTGACCATTCTTCCTAGTTACCCCAAGGGGTGCCCTGGTAAACAGAGCATCTCCTACTCCTTCCTGTCCCCCCTGATGAATTTGTAGGCAGCATTTGTCCTTGCTGAACTGCATCCTATTCTGTTCTGCCCTCTTTGCCAACCTGTCCAGATCTGCCTGGATTCATTCCCTACCCTCTGGTGTGTTAATTTTACCCCATAATTTGGTATCATCTGCAAAGTTGGACAGAGTGCTTTCCACGCCCTCATCCAAGTCACTGATGAAGACGTTGAACAGCACCAGTTCAAAGACTAAGCCTTGTGGTACTCCACTGCCCACATCTTTCCATGTCGATACCGACCCATCCATCACCACTCTCTGGGTGCAACCCCTAAGCCAAATTTGCCACCCACCTGACCATGTAATCATCTACATCACAGTGACTCAGTTTATCTATAAGCATGCAATGATACCGTATCGAAGGCCTTCTTAAAGTCCCAGTAGATTACGTCCATCTCAGTTCCTGCATCTACGTATTTTGTGACCTTGTCATAAAAAGAAACAAGGTTAGTCAGGAAGGATCTATCTGCTATGAATCCATGCTGGTTGCCCTTTAACATTGCTTTCTCTGCTGGACTCCCACAAATATGATCCGGAATAATTTTTTCAAAGCTTCTCCCAAGGATAGAGGTGAGACTAACCGGTCTATAGTTACCCAGGTCCTCCTTCCTCCCCTTCTTGAAAATAGAGACCACATTGGCCCTTTTCCAGTCCTCTGGGACCTGACCTGAGCATCACTGCTTGAACACCCATGCCAATGGCACTGCTATGACACTGGGCAATTCCTTCAGCACCCTTGGATGAAGATCATCTGGGCCTCCTGACTTAAACACATCCAGCCCCTCCAAATGTCTCTTCACTAAGTCAGTACTAACAGTTGGTGGGCTGGTTCCCCCTTTTTGCCTGTCTATGATCCAATTGGGAGATTTGTCTTGATCTGAGTTCAGGAATACAGAGGCAAAAAAACTCACTGAAGAGCTCAGCTTTGCTCCCCCTATCCATCACTAATTGCCCCTGTTTGTCTTGCAGGGGAACTATACTACCCTGCACCTTATTTTTGCTCCCTGTATACCTAAAGAAAGACTTTTGTTGTCTTTAATTTTTGTAGCCAGCCTAAGTTCCATTCCTGCGCCTTTCTAACTGCCTCCCTGCAAGTGCGGGCCAAGTAGGTACACTCCGCCTCGGTAGGTATCCCATGCTTCCACAGCCTATATGCCTCTTTTTTTTTGCCCCAAGGCTTTCCTGGATCTCCCTGTTCAGCCAAGAGGGTTTCTTGGCCCCTTTGCCCCCTTTCCTGTGCAAAGGGATTGTCTCCTTTTGCACCCTTAGGACTGCTCCCTTTAGGAACGACCGCTGTTCCTGGACTCCCATCTCACCAATTTTCCTGTTCTTCAATGCCTCGCTAACTAATCTCCAGAGCACACTGAATTTAGCATTTCTGAAGGAAGCACTTCTGCCCTATTGGTTATCTTTCCCACCTAATGCTGGATAATGAATTCAATCAAGTGATGGTCACTATCCCCTAAGTTACCTCATGTCAGTAGATCCCCCAACCAAATCAGAAGGATGTTGATAGTCTTGAGAGGGTCCAGAGGAGGGCCACTCCTATAGTTAGGGGCTTACAGGACAAGCCCTATGAGGAGAGACTGAGGGACCTTGACCTCTTCAGCCTCTGCAAGAGAAGGCTGAGAGGTGATCTTGTGGCTGCCTACAAATTCATTAGGGGGACGCAGCAAGGAATTGGAGATGCTCTGTTTACCAGGGCACCTCTTGGGGTGACAAGAAACAATGGTCACAAACTGACAGAGAGCAGATTTAGGCTAGATATCAGGGAAAACTTCTTCACAGCAAAGGTGGCCAAAATTTGCAATGGGCATCCAAGGGAGGTGCTGCTCTGCCCTACCTTGGGGGTCTTTAAGAGAGGGCTAGATATGCATCTAGCTGGGGTCATCTGACCCCAGCACTCTTTGCTGCCTAGGCGGGGGGTTGGACTCGATTTGCTGAGGTCCCTTCCGATCCTAGCATCTATGAATCTATGAATCATCCCCTGTAGCCAGGACCAAGTCCAGTAAGACATTTCCCCTAGTGGGACTGTATACCTCCTGTGTTAGGTGAAGGTCCTATATGCAGGCTAAGAACCTACATGAAGGGTTGGATCTAGCTGACGGCTCCTCCCAGCAGATGTCCAGGTAGTTTAGGTCACCCAGGACAACCACGTCTCTTTACTGTACAGCCTCTGAGCACTGTCTGGAGACTTCAATGTCCAACTCCTCCTCCTGATGTGGCAGTCTATAGTAGGCCCCCGCTACCAAGTCCCTTTCCCTGCAACCCACTTGCATTCTGACCCACAATACCTCAATTTGTCCCTCCTCTGATCCCATCTTGATTATGGGAGATGCATATTGCTCCTTCATGTAGAGATCCACACCTTCCCCTTTTCTCCCTCCTCTCTCTCACCTGTACAGCCTATAGCCCTCAATGTTTACTGCCAAATCATGGGTAGGGTCCCACCAAGTTTCAGTTAGCACTACTAAATCACAGTTTTTGTCTGCAAGCAGGAAT